AACCTGTGCTTCGAGCGGTTTGAAAAGGCCTTTTTTTTGTCTCCATCTTCCCGCTGTGAACGATGCCCAGCTTGCTCTTTGCTCACATGGACCGAGCAAAAGGCAAATAATGTACTCTAGCCCAGTCGTATTCAAATCCCTTCCAACTATGATTGCATGAGTGCTCTTCTGGGCGAGTGTAATTTTGCACGTGAACCTTGTGGCAACTCGCTTGCCCCAACCGACTGCGCAAAGCCAATGCAAACTTCTGCGCCCCCGCGTCTTTCAGCGTCCAAGATAAATGTTGTATCATGAGCTTGATGGCCTCGGCCAAGTGACTGAGATCAATGAGCACGTGCGACCCTCATGCGAGACACCACGCCAGGGGCCAAAATGGAGCCTGACGGGAGCCGCCCTTTGAAAAGGAAACAGTGACGAGCTTGGGAGAGAGCGTCTCCCTTCAGGCCCGAACGGCCAGCAATGAGCGTCCAACGTCTGTGGCCGAAAGGACACTGCCCCGGAACTCGGTGCGGCACACCCACCCTTTGTGGGACTTGCGTCTGAAGTGAGACGTGAACAGTGACCCATTGCAGGCGCGAATCAAAGATGCGAGCTACGTGTTCCACTGTCGCTACCGTAGTCAGGCACAAAGATGAGAAACGGCGTCATCATTTCGCAGTGCAATGGGCCATGGGGTGCTCACATGCGTCGTCCGACATTTGTCGGCATTCGGGTGTGTCCTAAAACAGGGGCTCCCCTATTTTAAGGAACGCACATGGCTGGTTTTCGTCCAAACCCCAAACCGGAAACCTCGCTTTCCCCCAAAGAGGTCTCCTATTCCTTGGCCAGCAACGGCCTCGACGTGAGGTCCGCCGGGTCCGCTGGCTCCGCCGCGGGGTAGGAGGTCTCGTTCAGCACCAGCAGCTGGTGATCGTCCAACTGGTCGTAGATGGACGGGTAGTCCCTGAGCTGGTCGCATGGAAGCCATGCGAAACGCCATGTCGATGGACGAAATCCGTTTCGAACCACTTTGAAAGAAACACGGTTGAAGCCATTGCTTGTTCGCATTTACAGGGGAATCAGAAACCAGGGTTTCTTAGGTGGTGCAGGATTTCGTCCATCCACAGTATGGCATTTCGCCGGAGACGACCAGCCATCTTTCTTTGCGTTTCTAAAGGGTGGTTCCCTTGGTTGCCTGCTATATGGGCAAACGGAGGTGAAGCGAAATTGGGGACCCTTTGGTGGACATCATTTAGGTGGGCATTCGTGTCCACCAACATTCTTAGCCAATGGAGTCACTGGCAAGGGTGCGGGTGCGCTTTAACCCATGAACAAGTGGTCATGGTACCAGCAAAGGGCCAGTTGGGCACATACTAGGCAGCGAACTCGGAACCCCTGACCTTGTGTAGGAATATCCTTTGTGGTCAATCTCTTGCCCCGAGGGCCGAAGCTCATCAGGAAAATGAGTGTAAATGAAGGGGAACCATCAGGTTGTTCAAACAAAGTGCCGTTTCATCCGCGGCTTGAAAAGGTTGGCCCAATTGCCAACAGTCTGTCCTTCCAGTTACCATAGACAAAAGCTATAGCAGGAAGCACCAAAGGCGAAAACGCCAGCCTATGGTACGAAAAGCCTCGGGTGTGTGAGTTTCCTTGTCCATCGTCCGGCTCGGTGTTTCAGGAAAGGGAGAACAAATGAAGTACGACGCCCCTCAAACATAGCAACGGGCGACCCATGGCCCCTCTTCCAAACCTTCAGTGGCACCCTTCAAATGAACATGCACCCAAAAAGGGGTCCCCCTAAAGCACATTCCTCTCAACATGAAGCTTTGTGGGATCCACGTTAATGTACATGATGCTTCCTTTTTGATCCGTCTCTCCACAAGTCCACGCTTGTGACACTCAGCCATCCGCTCTTGGGTCCTGACTGACGACCGTGGCAAAATGCCAATGTGCTCTCTGTGGTTCTTTATCTAGGTACTCCAGTAGAGAGGTTAGAATAGGGGTATTACCCTTTTTTTAGTAGTCTATTTTAGTAGGGGAACCCTCCCCCAAAAAAGGGCAAACGGGCACCAGTGGGGGACCTAGTTATTCTTAAACACCGAAACCTTTGTCGCGGGTATGCAGTAGGGCATCATGCAGGGCATTGTTATTGCCCAACATGCCAGTAGGGCATTCATGTGAAGCATTGCCTTCACAGCTTGTCCAAACTGTGACCATCCATATCCATATCCATATGCATCCACGTTTACACGTAAACGCAATTGAATCCGCCCACCCTGTTTGCGGGAACCGAACCTGGAAATAAGACTAAGAAGCAGAAACACGCAATGCTGAAATAAAGCAAGCAAACCACCATGTCCATGCCTCGAACTTAGCCAGTACGAGCTTATACATCATCGGACGAAACAAGCCGGCAATAACACATATTTCATATGTATCATGGATGTTGCAATAACAAGAACACGTACCTGAAAAATACATCAACTTACAGATTCAATTGCTTCTGGAGCCAAAAAAGGCACACGGCCCGCGGGCCCACCCGCGTCGGGAGTTGGAGTGCCAAGTGATGCGTCTGCGCGAAGCGGCTTTTGTGTGCGGCATCATCACCGTTTGCGCGCAGAAGGAAACTCTCCGCGCACTGCCTTGATCTTCCAGGACCCTGAAAAAGCGGGCCTTTGTCTGATTTTCCTTTTTCAACCAGAAGCGAAATCAAGAAGGACCCTGTTTTTGCGTGCGCTTGGAAGACCAAGGACTGGTTTGCTGTCTTTACGTTTCTCCAAGTCCGCAGACCATGTTTCTGTATGCCACAACACTTGTTGGTGTGTGGTTCAGCCTGGTACATGCTCCGTGAATCTCCGTGGTGGAAGCTGCGGATCTGAGAAAGAAGAGTGAATGCATCTGAATCTTTGATTCTGTACAATCACTCCAACACAGAAATACAAATGAAGACTAGGACTTACAAGGGTCTTCATCAGGGGGGTTTCGCTCCTTTGGGTAAAACAAGCGAAGCAATGTTTTGGTGACTTAAGGTAAAAACAAGCGAAGCAATGTTTGAAACTGACTATGTTTAGTTGGGGAAGCTATTAAACAAAAAGGGAAGTCGAGTGCCATTACACAACGGGTGCCTACCCTGAAGGCAAGCCGCTCATCGCTGACGTTGCATAGGCAGAGGTTGCAGCAACAGCCGGCCGCTGTCGGCCGTGTAGCTCTGTCCAGCAAATCCTGCCGAGATGTCTTGGCCGTGGGGCTGTGCCCCAACCATTGGGAAAACAATCTCCATAGGCCCTAGGGACGCAAGACCCTAAGTTTAAAAAAGAGGGTATTTGACCCAAAGCAACCCAAATAAGCAGACTTTGGATTCGCGAGGTATATATATATATATGTCTAGTTGGGATGCACAGGACGCAACAAGCTTTGCCATGTTCAAGGTGATAGCTTCAATGTAGCATTCAGCATCTCAGGGCGGCCAATGCCAGGAGTGGACCTTCATCTGTCCAAAGGAAGAGCTGAGTCCCTCCAAACCGCAAACCCGCTAGTGCGGGCAGGGTGGCGGAAAGAACTTACCTGCCTAGAGTTGTTTGGGCCAACTTGCGAATGCCAAGCGGAAAAAAAAAAAAACAAAAAACGATATGTGTCACACAGAGTGCAAGACAAGGGCCTGGGGCCCTGCTTGGCGGTCGTGTGGAGCACATCGCAAACAAACACAAAGAGACCACACACACACACACACACTACACACACACACACACTACACACACACACACACTACACACAAACTTGGCCATGGTTCAAAACCAATGGTACCATGTTGGGATAGGTGCACCACCCATTTTAGTCTATTTTAGTGGGGATTGGGATGTTCACTCAGGGTACAGGGTTTTGACTCATTGCCACTGTGAAATCCCCCGTCTCTCAATCTTTGTGTTGTGGCCCAATTCTGCTGTGAGACTCAGTGAGCACACTCCAGGTTCGGATCCTGCAAAGGGAGTTACCCCGGGCCCCATCCTCAGGACGCCCCAAGGCCCAGGGGTGGGCGCCGACTCCACAGATTTGGAAAAACGAGAAGCTATCGAAAGCGAAATCCTGAAATCCCAACTTGCCTTTTGGACTTCCAGCTCTCCGCCCGCCCGCCCGCCCGCGTGCGCACGCGCACTCGCACGCGCATACGCGCGGATTCACCAACGCACACTCAGCGTCTGTCACGGTATCTATATCATATATCCGCTCCTTGCAACAAGACGGCCCTCAAAACGACGCCTTCGAAGCGCTTTGGGGGCACGGAGGGCGGCTTGCAAACTCTATTGCTCCATCAGGTGGCAACACATAGATGGCACTGGTCACTGACCTGAACCAACTGAAACCACGAAAACCATCCATTTCCAAGCAAACTAAGCTAAGAAGGACGGTGACTGACTTCTAAAGCAGGACCTTGAAGCGGGTTGCTATGAAACTCCTGCCTGGTAGGCAGGCGTCTTCACCAGTTTCCCGTCTTCGTCCTGCAAGTTGCTCAAATGTTGAAGGCCGCTAGTTGGTTGGCAAACTCTTTGGCGGGTGCCAAGGCTCTTTGTTTGCAAAGGGAAACACTGCACCAGGGCTCATCGACATTGTCCCACAAAGTGATAATGAAGCAACCCACAAAATATGTACGCGCAGAGAAGGGGTAGTTTGCTTCCCGAAAAGAGGCCCCCTGGTTGCAAGTCCACCTTTGGGGTACTCACACCTTCTGGCTAGCCTCGGCACGGTGAGTGAGTCACAGAGGTGCGCCTTTCATGTTGCAACATCATGAGACCGGCTGAAGCTTCTGCCTGGCAAGATGGGCCCCCATTTGGGCCGATGGGTTTGCACCTCGGCCCCGATTCAACCCGCCCTTTCCATCCCCCAAAAAAGGAACACTATTGGTCAGCCTATACTATTGCTCATATCATTGACAGATTGCCAACACATGTATTTGTTGCCCAGTTGGAACTGCCATTGCAGAAAACAGACACTCAAGCAATCAACTGTAAGTTGAGTCGATGTTCAATTTAGTAAGTATGGATGTGTTTCTTGTCTGAAACCCAGAAAGAAAAAGGACAAACAAACAAATCAAATCTCGAAAAGCATGCACCCATCAACTGTTCATGCCGTGAAATCAGAGCTTTCAGCACCGGGAAATTTGGCTTTTGTGACTCGTATGACCCATTCCTAGTGGCTTAAGGGGACCCTTCATTCAGCACCCTAAGCCCTCGACCCCTTGCAATGGAGGGTCCAACAATGCTGAAAGCAAGAAAATGAACGGCACATGTCCTGCTTTTCTATTGCAGTCCTAGTCAGACAGGAAGACCCAAAGGAAAAGCCAGGCAGGAGAACCGGGTGTTCAGGGAACCCGTCTCCACAGGCAGCTCTTTTTCAGGAACCTGGTTGGCAACTTTTGAATCAGGGGTTATCAGTACAAATGAAACATGCAATAAGGAGATTTGTCTTTAGGATAGCAATGTGTGCATTCTAGTGCATAGTTAGTTGGATTTGTCCAGCTACAATGCTGTCTGATTGGCGCATCCTGAGCACAAAGTTCCCCCCAGCGCGGCCAGCTAATTCTGAGCCCGTCCTTGTAGGCAACTTTCCGCATCAGATACTGGTAGTAGATGCCCTGCTTCGGGTCTCCGTTGGTCCAAGTGATCCTGTCGGGTCAATTGCAGAAGAAAGGCGCGGTCTTTTTTCAAGGGTACCTATTCTGTTTTGGTGGTTTCAAAACAAAAAGGACATCCACCCTTTTGTTGGGTCCCCTCAGAAAATGCACAACCTTATTTCGCAGAAGGTTTGGCACTGACGCTGCTTCAGGTCTGTCCATGACAAATTCAGAATCATGGCAAAGCACATGACATGGCTATATGAATGTGTTGAGGGTATGTACAAATAAACAAGAGTCTCAAGTGCAATACAGCTACCAATAAAACAAGGCTCTTGAATCTGCTGGCAAGGCGTGTTAGTGAGGCATTGAGAAGGAGTGTCAACAAAGCTTCAAAAACAAAGGGATGCGGAGCCCACTTCAAACCTCAAGCTACGCTCGTCTGAAAACAAACAAAAAAACACCGTCCTGTCCGGGAGGTGAGCCCACATTTCTTGCTTCAAGGTCAGGGCACGTGCCAAACTTCGTCAACTTGCAACCACGGCGAACCAATCATGGCTACGAACCACTCGCAAAGTACCCACACTTCGGAGGGGGGAGTGGCATCCTTTCGGGACAAATGGTGTCAAAGAAGGGGGACCCAAGCGGTGGCTTCCCTTTAACGCCAATGAAAAACAGGAAAACTATCCGAAACAAGCCAAAATCGGACCTCCAAAATGAGTGGCTTCCTTTGGTTTCCCTGTAAAGCAGTCCAACACGGAGTAGCCACAGCGGCACAGCGCCCTTGGCCCCATCGCCTCAACAGGTCTTGGCCCACGACGAAGGGAATCTCCTTGCCAGTAGCGTCCACCATCTTGTCCTTTGCTTCCAATTGCTTTTTCGCCCCCTGGAAAAAGAAAAAACTATACTGTGGATGGACGAAATCCTGCACCACCGAAAAGACCCCGGAACGATGATTCCCCTGCAAATACCAACAAGCAATGGCTTCCCATCGTTTCAAAGTAGTGCAGGATCTCGTCCATCCACAGTATGTCCCGTAGTGACAAATTCCCGTTAGAACCAACAAGGGCAAATAAACCATATTCTTAAGCAAGTGGAAGTGAAGCGTGCTGGGTCTGAAAAGAAATGACCGAGCCTCATATGATTCATAGCTTCCAGGGGTTTCATATTGTGCAAATGAACTTCCCCCCGCGGCCAAAAAGAAAGAAAGAAAGAAAGAAAGAAAGAAAGAAGGAAAGAAGGAAAGAAGGAAAGAAGGAAAGAAGAAAGGAAGGAAGGAAGGAAGGAAGGAAGGAAGGAAGGAAAGAACTAAAGAAAGAAAGAAAAAAAGAAAGAAAGACAATAACGAAATAAAATAAAGAAAGAACATAAAGAAAGAAAGAAACCAACCACACTGGTGCTTGCCTCTTGGCGTGCTATGATTATTTTTTTGTTCTAAGGCTTGCGAAGGGAGAATGTTTTCAAATGGATCTTTCTCCAAGCCACTCTAACAGGTGGTCCCACTGGGCCATGGGCCAACCTTTGACTCGACCCGATTTCAAGAACCAATTTTTCACCATTGGGGACTCCTTGGTGGTCCCTTGTGGCCTGGGTTGTGTATTAAATCCCGGTAGGCTCAACCAAAAAACGCAGCGATGGGTTTCAGCCTGCTTGGGAGCTAATAGGAAAGGAATCCAGCTGTCCCAAAGAATGGTCTTTGGCGGAGCCTGTCAGTGTCACATGCACCATAACTTGGCTCCCGAAAAAAAGAAAGCAACATAAACCTCGCCACTTCATTTCTACCTGTCTATCTTCGTCGGCTTCGGAGGCTTGGCTCGAAGCAATTTTGCCATCGCTCTTCGGTCCTCTGGGCCGAGGACGTAGATGTAGTCGTCCCGCGAGAAGGAAATCCACTTCCTGCGGAACAACCAAACAAACAAAGACGGCCCTTCCAAGGGGCCCTCCCGGCAAAGGGCGAACGCGCCCGAAGGGAATTCAAGTGCCCAACACGGCCCAACACGAACCTCCTCGCAACCAGTGATGTACTTGCTCGACGATCTGGTTCATTTGTTGTTTAACTCATGGAGGGTCTGACTCCAAATGAACAACCAGGTGATGCAAAAAGCGGCCTTTAAATTGGTCTGGGGTTTGGGGCCTCGTTCACTCAGACACAGGTGAAGGAAGCATCTGAAATGGATGGCGAATGAGCTTGCAAAAGTTGGGCCCCCTTCCTAGCAGCTCATGCTGGCTGCAGTTGAAACCCATCCACAACCTTATCTGGACGCCCCCCCCAACACAAGCATCGAGAGAGCGCCCGCAAGGGACGCCCGCAAGGGACCAGAAACAGTGAGAAAGCAAGGGCCACGGAGCCAGAGGATCTCGAACAAAGATCATGCACCACATCTTGAACAGGACTGCGCAAGATCCATGGTGGGTCCTGCGCAAGCCTCTTGCTGGAAGATCATGAAAGCAGGGGGGGAAAAAAACTCCTGATGATGTACGAAAGAGGATCTGAATAGAAATCTTGTGGACACTCTCCTGTGGAGGATCTGCTGATGGCAGGCCCTGCGCACGACCTCTTCAGAGGATATCTTAGGCACTCATAACATCCCCAGGTCGGCTGGCAAGATCTGTGCTTGACCACATCCAACAGAGCAGCGCACGGCAACACAATCAGCGAAGGATACAGAACTGCTTCGCGGACATGGTCACACCAACTGGGTTGCGGTGCACTCCAAGCACTACCGCGGGCACAACATGTGGCACAGCAACAGCAAGGTGACACGAGTTTCAAAATAATGGCATAGCTGAAGGAAGAAACATAGAGTATCACATCTGGTCACGCGGCGCAGGATGAGACCATTGCACCGGATGAAGACATGAAGGTACATGACCACGGACATCAAGCTGAATGCATAGCATTTCTTTTCTCCTATTCAGTTTTGCCGACGGCGTCATTCCGCACGATTGGGCCATAGGACAGTTCGGCTGGATGAATAACATCAATCCAAGGTGGGCTGCTAAAACCAAAAGCGAATGGTCCCCGAATACATAACTCTTTGCAAGGACATTTGTATGGCTGTTGAAAGGAGAACAAACTGCAGATTAAGAGAAAAACAAACGGACATAACACAGGCATACAATAAAAGTTGTTAAACATTTGAAGACGGGTCACACAGGGCTGTCTCAGCACGCACGGCAAGCAGCGCACGCCACACATGCGTGTGTGCGTGTGGGTAGAGGTGTAATAAACGCCGCTCATATACCAAAGGGGCCCTATGTCAGGAGTCACTCATAGGGCGCATCCAGCTCATTAGATTCCCGGGTTTAGCCTCTTTAGCTGAGGCACTTGTCCGGAGAAATCTGCAGTGCGCAGACAAAGCTGTACTTCATTCCAAGCAAGACGGAGCCCCACCTCGGCTCCAGACTCTCTCCACACTTCTGGAGACATGAGCGAAATCTATACGCCGAGCAATAATCTATCTGGGCAATGAACAGAAGGCGATGGGGGCGCAAGCAGAAAGCAAAACACAATCTAGAGGCTCATTGCTATCGAACAGCTCCGAAGACCTCAGGTAAAAACACGCGCGAGCAAAGAACATGACTCTTGTGTCAGCGCCCGAAGTTCTTGATTCGCCTACTCGCAAAGGGACCCCAATCCCCCCCCAGCCCCCAGTCACAGGCAAGGCACCAGCTGGAGCCGGTGGTCCAGTTAACGAAGGGCCACTTGTAGCCGATCCCATTTTTCCACATCGCGTCCTCCGTGCTCGAACAACATGCGGCTTCAGGAACCCCTAGCCCCTCGCATAAAATACAAAAAAAGGTTGGTTCTGAATAAACGGCATGTTTCTGAAAAGGGGTTACGTCCCAACCCTGTCCTCCATCGTGACGACCGTCTCGTTGGCCACGTTATCCTCGACATCCAAGCATTGCCATTGAAAGGAAACATCCTGCGATTGGCTATACAACTCGGATGGTGGATTGCTTCCAAGTTGGCGGGAAGCATCATAATTTTAGCCAGCTTTACTTTCAATTGCTCAGCAGGTACCTGTGGCCGGAAGGCTTACATTCAAGCAGCGCCATTGTGCTCCTCGACAAGAGGGTTCATCCATGGTGCTCTTTTGTTGCCCTTGGTTTGTCCATCCAAGGGGTTTGACTCTTGGAGACCAAGCGCACAAATATGCCCAGGTTTGCACTGGGCCGCCGGAATTCCTTCAAAGACCTTGGATCCACTTAGGACGTGGACTCATACGCACTGTGGAAACCGCATGGCATTCCCTCTTAAGGATCCTCACGCGCATGTTCAACCAATAGGGTAGGTCGTGACCGCACTGTGGATACGAGGTGTTTATTCTTTATTGTTTGTGGTTTTTGTTGTTTTTTAATGAACGTTTCACCCCCTAGTTGCAACGTAGTTCCCGAGTGCTCAAGCTGGAAATGGCCGCACCGCAGAGCCACGTGCGTCGGGGCACGCTGCAACCGCCAGCTCCTGCAGCAGTCTTGCGGCCAGTCCAGCCTCCCGCGCACCAGACTCCGACCGCAGGGGCTTGGTGCGCTTGGTGTCAACCGTCGAGGCGGGCAAGACATCGCCACAGCGACGTTGCTCTTGGCGAGAGTCGGGCATTTGGGGCAAGCCGAGACTCGCGGCCGCGCTGCGAGCTGGGCCAGCTGGGGCGGGCGGCGGGGGGGGTGGCGACCAAGTCCGGCATCCAAGCCCGGCGCTGCTGCTGCTGGAAAGTGAGGGCAAGCCCGGTGAAGGAGTTTGACCAAAAGGACGTGCAAACAGAAATAGGTGAGCAAAATAACTCTGGCAGCCCTTCAAATCCAGGAGGAAATGCTCGAGACAAGTTTTGGGGTATGGGAGGAAACTGGGGAAGTAGAAGCTCTCCCCTGTCTAATGCAAAGGGGGGTGTCCTACAATCTTGAAAGGGCACTATTTAAGATGAGACCAACTGTTTGAATGGGTTCTGTGTTATTGAAGACAGATTTGGCGGGCTCCCTTTGTACGGTGCTGGTCAACCGAAGATAATTAGCCGAGTCGCGTACATGTGCCAAACCCCACGCAGCCAATCTGGACAGTCGGGGTTTGTTGAGCTCAGCATTTGGTTGAACCACTCGTCGGGCTGCGAAATGTAGACGTGCTTGATGTCGGCACCTGCCAAAGAAAGCCCTTGAAGGAGGAAAGGCTTGCACAGCCGCCCCCCTTCGACTGCCTAGCTTGTGAAAAAACTAACTGAACGTTCTTGAGGGACAGTGTGACCGACTTCGGAGCCGTGAGCAAACGCAAAACAAAAGCTGCCAAGCCTCCCAACATGCCCCCCCTCCTAAGACCCACGTCACTACGCCCATGGCTCGAAGACCCCGAAACCCATTCGTAGCCCCAGGCTACGGCCTCTGGCTTGCCTGCCCGTAACCCGGCGCTTCTAGCTCTGGCCAATGCGGCCGTGGCCTTCCAGCAGCCTTGAAGCGGCACCCTCACTTGGTGCTTCGCCTATAGCCTCACGCGGTTGATGCGAGCGGGCTGGCCCAGCAGCCTGCCAGGACCAGGACTACACTTGTGGCTGTCCTGCAGCGCCAAGGGATACTTTCACGCCGCTGATGCCATGTCGAAACATGACCGTGATTTCTTGCCAGGCGCCCAAGAAAGCCTCTAAATCAAATAGCCCCTGGCCGCGTCTATAAGCACAAGCCCGAAGTAGCTGGCGTCACTGCCAGCTGATGTTTAAGCAGCTCACTACGTCACTAGCTAATTGCTTACGTGGCTAGCAAGCTAGCTAGACCAGTTGATTTCACATCTGTGCGCTTGAAAAGGATCAGACAAGCGTGCTTGCATGCGCTGGGGAGCACCGGGTAACTTCCGCTCCCCGGCTCCAAACCTTACTGGCTGGCCGATAGACGATAGTTGTCCAAGGTGTGTTTGTGGGGCATTGTTTGGCAATCAAGCAACTGCATGGCGATCCAGAAAGGAGTAAGACCTGCGTGGCTTGCGCTGCATGAGGCGGAGCGGATCTGCTGGAAATATGAGAGGGAAAGGCGCTGGCTTACTTCTTGAACAACAACCCCGGGACACCCAAAGTGTTGTTATGCAATAGGGCAACCTGAATCTTTGAAGGCCGAGGTAACCCAACAAGCACCCAAGTGATGTGTCTCTGATGGTATGCCAATTTTGTAGTCCTTTGGGGCAACGCGCAATTTGATTTGGTTCAGGGACTCACGCACCACCAAGATTCACTAGACACCTAACTGGAAGATTTCTTTGGAGACGAAAACCGGGCTTCCTCCAGGTCCGTCTTTGGAACCTTTTGGGGGCGGTTTCAGTCGACAGCCTTGTGACCCTTTTTTTGGGCGCCCAACGGCTTCTGGGCCTGTTGGCCAACGGTCGCAGTATGGCAGCTCCTTTTGACCCTGAAAACCCCCACTGAACACCACTTGGTTGACGTTGGAAGGGGAGCAAAAAATCATTTTTTGGCAGTTAAGGAAAGATTTCCCACTAAACCACAATAAGCAAACATGTAAAATGTTTCCCAACAACAGCCACGACCACCCGGCGCAGAAGCTGCGCCTTTGCATCTCAAGTAGCACCGAAACCCCTCCGCGACGCAGAAGGGGAAGCCGCGCAGCCACGGCGTCCTGGCGCGGAGCGTCTCTGTACACGGCCCTCAGTGGTTGGCCAGCTGTGAGATACTCAAATGCCCAATGGCCATGGCGAAAAAAAGGGCATCCCGTTTTGGGTTGGTGGACTTTAAAGGGGAACCCTTCCCAAGAAAGGGAAAGAAGGGCACCACTGGGCAACTGGGTATAACCCACTAATGATTGGGTGAACCCCCATTTAAGCAGGAATAGAACTACCCAACTACTGGGCCGAAAATTGATTTGCTTGAGAGTCCCTTGGGCTTTGTGGGAAATTCTCAGTCTCCCCATGTCTCTCCCTATGAAACATGGACTGGGGTGCCCTCAAACAAAAAAAAAGGTGAGTTTTCTGTATTCCAATAGTTTGAGGCGGGTAGAAACCCCTCCCCCCCACTCAACTGGCCAGTTCGGGTGTTGGGCACTGCTCAAAGCCAAAGGTGGGCTTGGTGCATGGATCAAACTATGGGTCAAACGTGATGGTGTCACTTGCATGCTTCGGCTGTCCACCGAGACCGCGTTCTGGGCGTGTTGCACTGGACTTATCGTCCACCGGATGTCCCCCAATAAATTTGGAGGAATAAAGGTCTCCAAGTCTGTGTGAGGGGAGCTACTGTTTGGTGAACATTCAAAAGACTACTGTAGGGGGTCGGGGGTCCCTCTTTTCTTTTGGGGGACTGATTGCGGGTAGCCCTCTCTCCCTCTCTCTCAAATGAAAGCACCAGCGCATGATCTCAACAAATTGATGCACTTCACGTGAAAAGCTAAGGAGAAAAAAGGCAAGTGTGCAAGCCACCTCTCGGTCGCGACGTCGTTTGGAGGCGGGTGCGGAGCGGTCTCGGAACGCGTTCCGAACGGCTTCGCTCGCGTGACCATCTGTAGGCTTTCGAGGGTCGACTTCATAAAATGTGTTCTGTTTTGACAGTGTTCAGCTCGCGCAACAATCAAAAGGTGGACTCTCTGCGGGCTTGCGATGAATCGAGCTAAACAACTCCTTTCAACTATTTTCATGCGTGCGAGCAACCCTAAACAACTCGGAGATCGAGACGAAGCAGAGAAGGAGAAAGAGAAGGAGAGAATGAGAGCAAGAGAGAAAGAGAAAAAGAGAGACAGAGAGAAAGAGAGAAAGAGACAAACAGACAAAGAGAGAACGAGATAAGAAAGAGAGAAAGAGAGAAAGATGTAAATGTAATGTGAAAAGGAGAGATGGAGAGAACGAAAAAGAAAAATATAACGAAATATATATATATATATATAGAGAAAGAGAGGAAGCTAAAGAGAACAGAAGAGAAAAAAGAGACAGACACAAATAAAGATAGACAAATAGAGTGGAGAAAGACGAAGAGAACAAGAGACAGATCAAGAGAAAGAGAGTGAGGGAGGGGAGGGAGGGGAGGGAGGGGAGGGAGGGAGGGAGGGAGGGAGGGAGGGAGGGAGGGAAGGAAAGACAAAGAAGGGAAACCAAGCTATAGTTTGTATTTGCTGAAACTTCGGACATTACTGGCAACAGGCAACAGTGTACAAACTTGATGTGAGTGCGAGCGCCCTAGGTTGGTGTCAACGGATCAAAGAAATGACGTACATGGACTGCAAATGTGTGGGCATGTGGATAAAAGTCTGCAACCGACCAGACGGCTAGGTCGCCTTTTCGAGGGTCCTTGTTCAATCACCGAATGCTAGAGCAAAGAAATGAGCGTCGGCTCTTCCGACCTCCTGAACCCTCAAAAGAAAGCACTTTAAAATGGGCTACAGCAACCCAACATGATGGGTAACCGTCAAAAGCCCATTAAAATCGACTATAGCAACCCAACATCATGGGTGAAAGTCCCTATTTATACGGGTGTCAGGGTCCAGACCGCTCACATACCTCCGGCAACCCGCCGTCGAAGCCGCGCCCCTGCCTGGGGGTGAAGAAGTTGAAGTTCCGTGTGCGCCCGGTCCACTCTGGCTTCTTCTGCGGGGGGTTGTAGGTCAGCCAATCCAAGCCCTGGCCGTCATTCTCTTCCCCCAAAAAAAATGAAGTCTAAAGATGCAACCCAATAGCAGTCAAGTTGTGGCAGGGTCAATGGCCCCCAGGGAGGTGGGCCTTAGAGATTTGAGAGAGGGGGAGGGTGAATTCACGCCCTGGCCATCAATTCCAGGAAGTCGTGGTCAAAAGCGCCTCGAAGCAGGGAAGTGGGCCTTAGAGTTTGACAGAAAAAAGGGTGCGCACGCAACATGGTATATGCGGAACTTGAGATCCTCTCCGCCCGGGATGGCCCTATGCAGAGTGGCTAGCCTCTCTCCTTTTTTTCTAAAAAATATACGCCAAACTTAGCCCCCTAACAACAATTTTTATCTCTTTGCTAGCTGAAGCGGAAAATGGAGGAAAACCAAAGGGCAACAATCAGCTGGTTTCCTATACACCCTCCAAAAGAACAAAGGGTTCAAATCCCCGAACCACCGATCCAAACCACCAATTCAGGTGACCTGAAACAAGTTATAAAAGTATAACTGAGGCTGGTCATGATGGGTCTTACGGTGATGGATATGCGCAAGCGGACGCTGCCGAAAGCTAATCCCGTCATGGATTTCTAATACCTTAACCCAAACACCTAGTGGCTATGGGAAGCAGGCACTGGAGATCTGATCTGGGCTAATGATGTGGATGCTTAGTGGCGATTGGGTCAAAAGGCCGTTCAGCTTCCGATTGGGGTAATGCGCTCAATGCATGCTTCATGTTGAAGGTCGATTCCCCCTATGGCACTGGACAGAAATCCGATGCCGTCCCTGGGCTCGTTGATCCGTTTGCCCATTGCTTGCAGCTATGGACGTCAGATCTGAGGTGCCTGGGCGTAGCTCCCTTCGGTAAATATGGTGAGCAAATGTGTGTTCGTCCAACGACGGGGCATGGTGTCACACGGGTGTTCAGCCTTCAGGAACTATGGATTTCCCGTGGAGCATTTCCGTGATGGGAGACCAAGGCCCCGTGTGGAAAGGGTTGAAACTGCTTGCTCTAACCATTGGCAACCTGCGATGAATAACCTCCTAGTTCCTAGTTGACCAAGTTGACAAAGGGTGTATACCAATACTTTTTGAGGGTACTCTTTCCGGGCTTGATATAAAGGGAAACGCAAGGCAAACCACGATTGTTGGATATTGTTGGGTTCCCCTGTTTTGAAACATATATCCATAGATAAGCCCACGTCTGATACAAAGTTGCAAGGCCGTTGCGACAATTGCCGTTCTTGTACAACCCGTGCAAGCAACCCTACATTGCACGCAACTACCTCAAATAGGCTTGGCAATGCGAAGGCTCTCAAAGCACAAGTCACTGATGTAAGGGCCGTCAACAAGTACACCCACACACACACACACCTGCGTGTTTTTGTCTGGTCATGACGAAACATGATTTGTAAAGTATTAACAGCCCCATTTGTTTAGGCCTTTATTATTAGACTCCTGGGGCCATCCAACCCAAATGTCGTCATGGATGACTTGATGGGGCATGGTCGTGTTCCATCCAAGCTGATCACTGCCTGCACGAAGCATTCCGTGTCAAATCATCCACTGTGAACCTCCTTTGGACGCATTGAGGGTAGCATTGTTGAGAGAGTTTCACACACGCACACACACACTTGAACTCCAGATGGAGAGTGCTAATCTTTCGAGTACAACTGATGAGTCTCGAGTACAACCGACAAGTCTCGAGTAGGATGAGTTTCGGCTCGCAATGCACTCGGTTTCCCTCTAGTGTCGAAAACGTTACAAGGTTCAACATGAAGCACACACAGCGAGAGAAACAGCGGGCCAAAAGGACTTTGAATCACGCGAGTTGCGCAGGTACGCTGGGATGATCAGTCCCAGTATCACCACCGATGGCAAGTGTCTTCGTTGGCAGGAGACTTGCCATGGTGCTCCTGCCCCCTGCTGCGAAACCGAAAGGGTGGTGACAGGGGATTCTGTCACTCCGCACACACACGCCCCTCTACGAGGGGCGAGGTTTCTCTTTTCTCCTGCAGGAAGATCACATGCTCAAACTCAATTCTCTATCGTTGACCAAAATATCCTCCACGGCGAGAGGAGCGAGACACCGCCCTGAACCGCTCAGAAGACGGGAACGAAAGATCACCACGTTGAGCATTGCGAGTGTCGCCATAGAGGACTGAAGCGATTTGCGAAGCAGCCGGGCGATCACCATGAGAAAACGGAGTGGCATAGGTGAAGGTCTCCTCAACTGGAACGGCATCGGAGTTTCGAACTTGACCAAGAGCCTGATCATGTGGATAGTGAGTTGCGAAGGACTCAATCCGAGACAAGATGCGCTGGTACCCTTGGTGTTGCCAGTCACGGATGTCCCATGCTTGGACTGGCGCATCGGGCTCAGTCACCCGCCGCCATTCACGAAACGAATTTTCAGGGACATCAGGCACGGCGTCACCGCGGTGCCATCGTTGAGGATGTCCTGGAGTGTATATCCGCACCCACTCCTGATCATGCCAGACCGAATATTCAAGCCATGGGTGCTGCTTCGAATCATCGATGTCCATGTCGAGGCAAGAGGCAAGGATTGTCGCGGGCTCCGATCCAGCTAGTAGATGAACAAGCACCATGCACAACCATGTTCAAACAACAGCCAAGCAAGATCATGCAAGTGTAGAGACCACCCTTATTTTGTACGCTGCGCTGCTCATGCGAGTCTAGTCCTCAGTCAGCTCGAAGACGGGACTCATCTTGTCTCGGCCGCTGTCGGAAGGATTCACGGGCCGGTAGGGGTCGGAGACCCCAATCGTCTCCAATGGTGTGCTTCCACGCGATGCACGTACTGGTTAATGAGGATGGGAAGCCAGACGTGCGCGAGCCGTCAGTTGTTGAGAAATCCCTTCCTGGAGACGAGTCAGTTCTTCAGTAGAGAAATCAGCTGCATCCGAGGACCTGAGAATCGCGTCTAACAGCTCCGGCGACATACTCAATGCCGCAGACTGCGTGGCCACGCTGTGATGATCGGAGGGATACACGGAATCAAATTCATGACCAGCGTGAGGGGCAGCGATTCTCCGATAGCCCTCTGTGGCCCAGTCTCGTTTGTACCATGTAGTGACTTGGACCTGCTCTCCGACTGAGTCCTGGTTGGGAGCATAGAACTCCCTCCATTCTCTAAAAGTATGCGGAGGAGGTGGATCATCATGTTCTTCTTGCGGCGTCCATGGTCCCGGATGAAAGATCTTGACCCACTGGGCATCTGGTTGTTGAGGGTCCGGGCACCATTCCAGCCACGCCATGACAACGCAACCACGGAAAGACAAGTTGATAGGTGTACGGCTGCAGACAACAACGAGTGCAAGCAAATCAACTATCATAATGCAAAAGACCACTTTTGTAACACTGTGCGGCGCCAGCATCAAAGTCAGACTCTCCAGGAAGGCGAGGACGGGCATCAGCTATCATGTGAATTAGATGATGCCGAGGAGGAGGTCATTCCAGCATACATGAGGTCCGGTGCACCCGAAGCGAAAACTGGCCTCGCTATGCTGGGATGTGGACGACCCAGGCGTTGGTACCCCCTGGTGACCCAGTCCCTGTAATACCAAGTGTAGAAGGTGGCGTAAGATACCGGTTGCAGAACCGTGCCTGTGGTTGTGCCGCCCGTGCTTTCCCTGGGCCAGTACACTTCGAAGTGGTGGACCTTGCGCCATTCCCGATAGGTGGTCGGGTCATCCGGGGCCGGTCCCAGGGTGTCAGGGGCTACTGGATGCCACTGACCCGGCACATAGATTCGAATCCATTCCACACTCGTTCCTGCTCGACCATTGACGATGTCATAGTCAAAATAGCGAGGTAGGACCCATCGTGCTGCACCCTGCACTGTACTATTGAACATTTCAACCCGACAAGCTGCTCAAAGTTATCACGGAAAGCGGCGGACACACAGAGACGACATGCACAGCACCAAGCAAGACAACCCAATGTGAACTCACATACAAAGCAAGCACAACCGCATCTTTATCCAACATGCTACTCAAGAGTCAATCCGACTCATTCCAAGGATCATGGAATGGCGGCGGTGACGGTTCCCGCCACGCCCCATCCGGTACCGACGAGCCCACCGAGGACTCGACGTCTGCATTGACGAGCATCGCGAATCCGATGGATTGTACAGGAGGTCCAAGTCGTTGGTACCCTCGTGTTTGCCAGTCTCGGTACTCCCACACGTGGTAGGACACATAGGAACTGGGCGTGGCTATAGGATCCATTGTGGTGCCTCCGGTGCTGTCTTCAGACCAGTACACTTGGAAGTGATATGATCTGCGCCACTCCCGATACGTGGAAGCGTAAAGTGGGTCAGGAACTGGCGCCTCCTCAGGAACGGGCCTCCAAATGCCCGGAGAGTAAATTCGAATCCATTCCACTCCTCTATCGATCTGGTACTCGAAATACTGGGGGTTCATAGCAGCAATACGGGCTTGCACGACTGTTAAACCAGTCGAAAGTCTGCGGCAAGGACACACATGCATTGCCAACCGCACATATCCGCTGAAGAGCGAGGCAACTTTTCAAACACAAGGTGAAACGCAGCAACGAGGTCTGAAATGTCTGACTCCTAGCTTTCACTGTCGTTGATGTCGCGCACACCTGCAATGATAGTGACCTGGTCGTTTACGAGCACAAGGGAAAAGACATTTCCGTCCATGGCGCAGGATGGCGTGACAGTAATGCTTGCATGTCGCCGATGGGGATTGCGATGGACGGCCAGCACGTTTGGAATAAAACACTGTAAAGGGCCGTCGAGATCGCCGCGGCGCTGAAGCTGATGCTGTCCGAGATCGTTTGGACGAGCGCCCTGGACTGCGTGGTTCTTCATCACGGGAAGGGTCACTGCTGTAGATCGAGCGGCGTGTGCGCTGCGATTTCGAAGAGGTAGGGCAGGATTGTCCGCGAGGGGCTGAGATCGAGGGGCTGCGTACCGAGGGCATAAACTGTGGGTGTAGAATCACCGGTGGTGGTGGT